GTTTTGAAATCCAATTTGTAAAGCAACACTTTCTTTAAAAAAGTGACTTTCTGAATATGTGTGTGTTGTTTTATAAAAAAAAAAATCACTTATTTCAAAAAATGTAAATATTACAGTTAGAATTTTTTTCTTAGATTAAATACATATCATTCTATGCTTATTAAGAGATCTGTTTTTTTTTCTCTCTCTATCTATAGGTAACGCTGTCAAATCACAGCCAGCCTTTTATCTGCTCTACCATGACAACCATATGACAAGATTAGAAGTGAAACTCTTCAGTCTCCTTGGTGGTTTTCTGATAAACTTTTCTTATTTGAAGGGTGTCCTGTCTTGTGTCTGGTGTCTTCCTCTAGTGCGCTCCTGATTTGAAATATAGCCTTACATAATGAGGGAGAAAAATAGAGCAGTGTTACACCTCTGAGCCAGTGTCAGCTAATCAATCATCTGATCACGGCGGGCATGCTTACTCTACACACTGCGCATCCGACACAACCTACCCCGTCGCCTTCTCGGCAATGTGACAGCAGCATAATTCATTTTAACTCAAAAATTAAAGTGGCACTATCAGACATGTCCTTGCATCTTCTTGGATGGAATCAAATAGTACTGCTTAGTAATGAGACTTTATCTGTGTATGCTGCAAGATTTTTAAACTTATTCTTGTGAAAATTTGCAACCTTGAACTGATTCACATTTTGTCACATTTCAACTACAAACTTAAATTGAATTTACAGTTGGGGGAAATTCAATGTTTTCAGATGTTTTTTTTTTTTTAATGACAATCTGAAGTGTGTATTAGGTATGGAGTGCATATGAATCCAGTCACTTTAAAACTTTTTAGGAACCCCCTTCAATGTCATGAAGGTTGCACATCTTTTAGCGTGCTTCTCTACCAGATTTTAGTCTGTGGGCAAATTTTTCACAGACAAAAATATTTGCCCAATCTTCTTTTAGTTTTCCCACACACATATCATTTTGCATGTCTGACAAAGAGTTAAGTTTTAGTCTCATCTGATCACCATCTTACTGCAGGGGCACATTTTTTCAGTACTTCAGGTACCAGAGACTTTGTTCCCGTTTCCGTTTTTTAGATGACTTTGACCCACGTTTTACTTTTCCAGCCTTGCTGCTGAGCATGTAACAGGCGATACATTTGAATCTGGGGTTCGTGCTGTCATACTGCAGTAAGTCAGGAGGTCAGGGAGATCTGGAGGAACTGAAGCTGAGCAGAAGGAATGAAAGCTGGCCTCTTCACTTGGCAGTAAGATATTCATTCTGGCTTTCTTTCAAAAAACCAGCCTTCAGCACAGCACAGCTCCAAAAGTTACATCATGATTATCTTGATGACTTACATGCAGGAGGGCTGTAATGGAAACATAAAAACTGATTCCTTTTGACATTTTATATTATTTAGTGTGCCATACTTTCTGCAAAGATTCAGTGGATTTGTTGTCTTGAGATGAACAGATGAGTTGAATCTTTGATCCTGGACAATAGTCACAATAAACCGAGCAAACTCGCCAAATATGCAAGAGAAACAAGACATTTTTGATGGATTGCATTTGTCCTACATTAAAAGAGTAACAAGTAGTTCATACTCTCACGTGTTTAAAGAAAAGTATTTTTAAAAAATGTGACATTAGGAGCCATGTATTTAACAAAAATGCAGCAAAAGTTCAGTAACAACTTAGCCAAAGGAGCATATTTTTTTTTTAATTCTTCCATTGCAATTGCAAGGGTTAGTAGCAAATGTTGATTGGTCATCAACAAGTAAAAGAGCCTATATATTTACTATAGGTTTGTGTGTGTTTGTTCAGATGTAGTGTGTGCTATCACAATGTCAAGTGGGACAGAAATCAGCTAAATCATGTAGAAAGGAACTGAATGGAAGAATTTTATACCATTCAATTAATCTATTTTGATAGTGAGAAATATAAAAATTTTGAGCACAACAGCTAAACTTTTAAAAAAAAATCCCCCATGTATATTTACCATGCAGTCTCTTAGAAGCCTGACAAAGGGGAAATGGAATAAACTTCCCATGTATGTCTCAGATTTTGGAGGCCTCCCTTAGACGGTTACATTTTTTAATTAATGAACTAGAGAGAAACTAAAAACATATGGCTCGTTTGGAACTTTTACCAGCAGACAGTCAGTTGTTTTTAATATAAACTTGATAGCCTAAATAAGAGTAGTTGCAGCTGGACAGACCCCAAGACTGCTATGATAATGCACTTTGCACAGAGAAGACCAAAGTGGAGATGTTGGATTTAATTTCTAACAGCACTATTAAACAACCAAAGACACAGTGATGGGGTTTGATGATTGGCTATCAGTCACAGGACTCTGACACTTTCCAAACACTGATACCGAATTATCTTTATCGCAAGTTATTCTGGATTGAAGTAGGAGGCTATCTGTCTGACAGTATTATCATTTAATATAGCACGCCCACGCAAACAATCATATCTACAACGGAGACAAAGAATCAAGTTGCGAGATGACCCCAAACTCACAGAAGGCTCCAGCAGAACCACTGGAAAAGAACAATGACATACCTCAATAAACTTCAGCAAGATCTTCCTAAGGAGGATTCCTTCTGGTTATTCATTACTTTACTCTCAGGTGTGCTACTCATCTACTCCTTCTGAAGATTTGCTGAAGTTTTCAAAAGGGTGACCAGAGGGAATCACTCTTTCTGTTGGTGTGACAAACCAAAACCAAAAGTCATACCAAATGTTTTATCATGCTGTTGACATATTCATAGAGGTTGGAGATAAAACCAGAGTGTTAGTGATGAACATTCAAATTTGGGGCACAGAGAAAGACAGAACCTTTTTCTATTGCTAATACACCTGTAACTTTCATTTTTCATCTGCTTAATCAGACATATTTAATATGACAATAATGGTTTTTCACAGTACTTTGAATCATCACTGTTGTCCTTAGTTAAAATGCTAAATGAATGTGCCTGATGTGTCAGGGCAAAGATCAATATATGCATATCCTCCCAATATATGTATTTCATTCATAATGTCACTAACTCTAAATACAAACCGTCTTAACACTGAGGTAGTTGTTGCCTCTTCTTCTGCCTATATATAAAAAAAGATACAAACATCCACTGAGAAAATTATGATCAGAACAACTCGTCTTGGTGTCTGGATCTACCTCTATGATTTCCAACAAATCCTACAAAAGCATTTTACATAAGAATTTGAGAGAAGACGTTGGTTCAGTTAGCTGCCAAGTTCATTCACAGTGTGCTGTGTCCAACAGGACTGATATGTTTATGGGTTGCATAATCAGCAAATATATAAACTTAGTCTTAAAAACTATCGTAAGACTTGTGGTGTGGAAAGTTTTATGAATTTAAGTTTGTTTCCAGTTTTGAGTATTTAAAGAGTACTACTGTCAAAATTGTTAGGAAGTTGATGCCTTTTAAATGTGAGGCAGTCATTGCCAATGAGCAATGACTGCCTTTAGCTGTGTAAAGGGGAAAGGTTTATATATTATCCTGTTTAAATAGACTTTAAGCAAAATTGTATGTAGTCTTAACTGGAGAATTAAACACTGGCAAACTTCCCTTAAAGAGGACTTTGTGAATTTTCTGAGTAAAACTCACAAATGCTCATGAATTTTAAACAGTTTATTGGTTAAATCATCACTAGTTGTTTTATGTGTTCTTCAGCAGGATATTTGGTTTACGCCAAACAAAACCAGAAATCCAAAGGTATAAATTGAAAATAGGTCTTCTGAAAATTCAAATAGGTAGGATGTGAAAATTTTGTTGTATGAAAATTCAGAGCCACTTAATTTTTGATGAACAAATAACTGTGTTTGAAAGACAGCTTATTCACAAGAGAGATACTCAATAGATTTTCTTTCTTTTTTTTGTTAACCAAAAACCGAGAAGAAGTTAACTTCTTTTCTTCAACACGCCATTAAAGCAGCTGTTTAAAATTCGTCTTGAAGGGGATAAAGCATTTGACTTCGTCACTTTTATGACTTGTGTGAGCAGTCTGCTTGAAGGGCAGGACCATGTCAAAGTCCACGTGCCTTGCTTTGAAGAGGCGTGGTTCCGCTGATCACATGCAGAAAGCATGGTGCTTGCAGGTTTTTTTTCTTTCCTTTTTTGCGCAACAAGCGGTGCATGAATTCCGCTTCCTAGAGTGACGTTTGATGGCAGCCACAGACAGCATTGTATCTTGAAACGCATTCTCTCCAAAGCGCTGTCAGCTCCCTCTTTTATCAGGCGGAGCGGAGACCCGCATGTTATTCTGTGAGTAAGGGGGAAGAGTTCTTTCATCAGCTCCTGCAGACTACTCATATATGCAGTCGGCTCCTCCCACAGGGGGATGTTGGAGATTAGGATGATGGTGATTTTTGATGAAAATAATGAACTGACTACTGACTAGTCCCGTTTGAATTCTTGTGCATTAGGATGGACAGTTTCATGTCTGAAAAAAGGAAGCTTGCAGACTGCTGTAGTGAGGCTCAGCCTGCAAAGGCAATGCCCACTAAAGGAATTTGCAGTGAATATTTCATGCACCTCTGCAGCTTCTGGCTAATTTTGCAGATAAGATGTTCCTAGCTACAAAAGCTTTGACAAGAAATACAAAGATAGAACGAATAAATGATTTACAGTGTAGTTTTTACAAAACATCACTGATATTGTAACTTGACATACAGTGTAATGTTTAAAGGGAATGTTTTTAATCTTGCAATAATTCTGTAATGATGTTTTGTGATAGCTTGGAGTAACTTTAAGCTTCAAACGTAAGAGGACTTTATAGTGCAAGCAAAAAAGTATCATCTCTTGATTGATTTAATATCTAAATGCATGCATTCTTTGGAGAAGGCTGCGTTGCATTAAATTACCCCAGTTCTCATGTAAAACTGCACAGGGTCGATCAGCTTGGATTACTTTCAGGCCTACCATCTATTCTTCTGCTATTGACAACCTCTCCCTCTTAAGCTTGCATGACTGGAGCTCTCACTAGCGCTGCTAGTGGACAATCAAACCTACACACCCACCACCAGACAGACTCGCATTTCTCATTTCTTACTTCTAGTCTAAATTAGATAGCAGGACGTAGTGTCGGAGCTCACAAGATCGCAGAGAATTAGTTTGAAGCATTAGCATTAGTTTGACAGTGAAGCCGAGAAAAGGAGAGAAAAAAATCAACATGGAGTCCCCTCCAGATCCAGCGAGCGACCCGGGCAACAGCGCTTCGGAGCCGGCTACCCCGGTCAGGGAAACCCCGGTAAACCTGGAGACGCTCCGGAAAGCGGACCATCCAGCCCCGGTTCGAAAGCAGACCTGCTCAAGCACCAACAGAGGTAAGCGAGCAGCAATTTGACAGTTTCGGCGGGTGAGGAAAGCGGAGCGATCGAGGCACATTTTAATCCAACTTCAAAATAAATCAAATCGCACAACCTCCGAAATAACTGCACCCTGTTTTAATTCACCCCGTTGCTTTTTAATATATATATATTTATCCGTGCAAGCGGGGGTATTTGACCAGTTTGATTGTCATTAGGGCTTTGGTCGGTGTATGTATGTGTGCGCTGCTCCACTGACAGGCAAAATCATGGGGGGGTGATACGGTCACAGATGTCACATTTACTCCGGCTGCAAGATTAATCAATTATCCAGGAACTCAGAGCCCACTAACTAACAGGAGCTGCTCCCCCTGCACAAACAGGCCGAGCTGCCCGCTCCGGCGCTATTTTGTCAAAGTGTCGAAAGTGAACTTTGGGGAAACTGTGGGTTAGTTTATCGATCAGTCCCGAACTGTTCGGTCGTAGGGACGTGTCCTCCGCCAGTGCCTCACGCAACGTCGTCTCGCTGGGTTTTCACTGATTTAGGCTGATCCAATGTGCAAAAAACAAGGCGCCCCGGCAGCTGGATTATATACTATTGCAAACCGAAAGGTGCTTAACATTATTATAATTATTATTATTATTTTTGCTATCATTAATATTAATATTATTGTTATCATTTGTAACCTAATACGATTCAGCAATAAGGCGGAACAAGCCCTCATATGCCAGCCCGTGAAAAAAGTCTGGTTCTTCTTACATGATTTATCCATCACGTCCCGTCCATGTTGTACAGTACAAGACAGTATGTTTAACCACACCCCCTCTCCACTGTCTCCAGTATACAGACTAACCGGGCTCGGCCAAGTTCAAAGAAATAAGGATTTCTCTGCTGATTCCCAACAAGCAGAGTTCACATTGCGCTAAAGCGAGCGGTGTAGGTGGGACAATTATTTCATTGAACGTCGGGTTTTGCATGCGTGTACTCTCCTCCTGTGCCGCGCGCGAGGGGTATATTTAGAATGTGATATGGTGAATGTGGAATGTAAGCTGGTTATGTAACAGGTTTAGCCATAAACAGAGGCGCGCAACCGAGAGCAGGAATCATCATCATGATCGCGGACCTTGTTCACGCTTAAAGAAGAGTGTTCACCCACTCCTCGGCTCCTATCACCGCGGTTGCTTAATTTAAACATAATAAAAAAAAGGGTCTCCACTTGTAATACCCCTCTTAAAGGCGAAACTGTGGAACTTTGTGGGCTGGCGCGCGCTGCCCGAGCGGTTATGTAATAGAGAGGCCAAGACAGGTAGTTTGGAAGCTTCCTGGATTGATTTCTTCCTTCACAAGTTTTGACTTTGAGACACTCCTAACCTGCTGACCCATATTCACCCCACCCTTTTATGCACAGGATTAAAGTGCGTCTGGGAAAGAAAAAGACAGAAAAAAAAGAATGCCTTTGGTGTGTTATGTAATGCTGAATGTGGGGAAAAAATAAGTGAGACAATCTCTGCACTGTGGAAATATTTTTCTCATCTCACTAAAAGTTTATCTTTCCCTTTTTACAGAGACTTAGAGTGTATGATGGCTACCGTGGGCAGAAAATTGCTTCAAATAAGTGTTAGGAAAACTTTTTGAAAACTTCAAAAAGTCAAATGTGCCTGCTGAAATTTCCTGATTAGTTTGATATCTCATGTGTTAAGCCTTGTTGTTCATTCTGCAGTACTTGTTTAACTTTGATGAAGTCAAGTCAGTTCTTTTCTTTTTTCTTTCTTTTTTCTTGTCGCTGCCACTTTTGGCATAGAATTCCAACCTTTTCTTTTTAAATGGGCTCATCTAACTGTTGAGATCATTTTGCCCAGTCGGTTTACCCTTTCTGCGAGGGGAAAAAAAGAGGAATGAGTTGTGACGAAGTTAAATGGCATTATTGACACGTTTTAAAAAAACTATTTTAATGATGTGGCATGCAAACCATTTATCTCGCTTTGAAGCAAACAGCTATGGACTGTTTATGGCAACAGCTGCTTTATGGTTAGGAAGCTCAGCTTAACAAGTGAGCGAGTTTGGCTTTAGCTGAAAATAGTTGAACAGAATATGAGCTTTTAACATGAAGGTGGCATGTAAACCTTATCCCTGGCAGCCACAGCCAATACATGTTCACTGGTATTAAGAGATTTGTCAGCTAGTTTAACTTTTGCTTTAACATTGTGACTAAAAGCAGAACAAATCTTTTAAAACTGTTGTATCTAAAACTATTAAATATATTTTATTCTATCTACTTATTGTATGTAGGACATTTCCCTCACAAAAAACAGCTAAAAGGCAAATTGTAATAGCAATTACATCTACCTCAAGTTTAAAATGCTCAGTATACAACCAAGTTTGACTTTAATATTAGCACTGCTAAATTAGTTAAAGCAAAACATAAACTTTTAAAATGAATTTAATACTCATTTTCAAAGGCATGTACCTCTTTCCTGACCATTGTAGCTAAGATGTGTTGTTCATTAGCAACCTCTGTGTTAAGAAACTCCTGTAGCATGCTTGTGTTAGCACTGACACTTAATCTGCTAAAGCTACATAGAAGCTTAAATTCTTAAAATTCTCAACCACAAGTTCTACTACTTTTACTAGCTTTTTGTAAGTTGATGTATGTATTCCCAGCACAGTCAATACAAACATATGAGCCTGTTCTCTACAGGACACCACATGACAAAAATAGTTAGTAGCTGACTAAACCAACATCAACATCAGGTTTAGATGGGATTTGTTTCCAAAATAAGGTAGCCAGGGCCTTTTGGATTTACTTACCCATGATTCATTGCTCCAATGTTCTAATAGTAGGAAATTACTGCAGTTTTTAGAAAAAGCGATGTCAAATGTAGGACAGCAAGGAAATATGCTGGACTTGTAAAATATTTTTTGGGGCCACGGTTCTGGACTCGATGTCCAAGCCTTTTCAAGCACACCACCTTAATAAATTTCTAAGATGATTGTAAAAGATAATATACTCTGTGTAAAGATGTGAAACTGCCTGTTTGCTCATTTCACAACTGATATACAGCCAGAAATTAGGCTGTAGCTCTAGTGTCTAGATATTCATTTAGTGGGAGTTTGTGTTAAACACACAGTGCTGAAAATTTGCATTTGTGTGCAGTTGCATACCTAATAAGAAAGTAAATATGTTTCGTTTAAAGGCATTCAAATATGTAGATAGTCATAATTTCTTTAGCAGCGGTTTGTGTTTGCTTGGCATAGTGATATATTTATAGATTTAATTTTAAAAAATTGCACTAGGTACCTGCTGCCTTCTGATTATGCCATTTGCTACTATTTTAAATCCTGTCAAGAGTTTTTGCCTGCTGAAATAAAAAAAAAGGAAAGATGTTTTGGGAATTGGATTCATAGTATAAAAATAACACCTGATGCTGCAGTATAAAAATATTATTTCTCCTTTTTAATGATCGTTTTACGAGGCTTTATCCTGGAGTCTTATTTTGGGGATGTGAAATTAGAGCTCTTAGCTTATTTTTTATTTAGATGTTATGGACACGATTTGGATAAGCAACAAGAACTTTGAAGGGTTTTTGTAGTTCTGTCGCACAAAATCTTAGGGCATTAGCGTAGAGGTTGCATGCTACTGAGGTGGACAATAGTGTTTCTTTGACTGTGGCATTCTCAAATTCTGGGAATTTGGACTCTTTTGCTTTTGGATGGAAGCTACATGTACAGCTCGGATAGATCCGGGATTTAAAGTTTCATTATGTGCTACGTTAGATCAAGTTTCCGTCCTCCTGTGTTTTCAATTCTAACAAGCAAGTCAAATAATAACTTCATCAGCTTCCTTTTGTTCGTACCATTCAGACACTTAAATGTGAACCGTCATCCCTCTCTGACACAGTGCTGCTTCATAAATGGTTACAGCTGCTCCTCATTTAAACTTTGACGTAACGTCTCCTTGTTGTTTATGGGTTTCAAAGGTCAAATGACATTTTTAATGTACCGTATTTATCCATGTCTCAAGATTGAAACTTTAGTAAATCAGGAGCAATACTTTTTTTTTTTTGTTTGTTTGCTATAAAGACACACTAATTATGGTATCAAATAGACATTTACAATTCTGTTGGTTTGTCTTGTCTTGAGAGGAGAATGTAATATCCAATATCTGGTTAAATTTTCATTTAGCAGTTTTTAACTTTACTTTGTAAATTGTGAACTTGCATCTTATCAAGCATGCATAAATAGGCTGAAATGTGGTTGTGAAAGGTTTTATTTTAATGTTCAAAATTTCTTTCATATAACAATTTTTGATGATTGATTAGGTCACCTTTTGTGTGTAATGATTTTAAATGAACTATTCACATGCCTGAACTTTTGTGACACAATCAATGCAACATGTTTGAAAGTTGCATTTCTCAGATTTAATGTTTAATCAGAAAAAAACATAAGCACCTATGTATGCAACCTGCACCTCATATATAAAATCCAGCATTTAAGATACTTTTCTCACTGTTAGATTTATGTAATCTTATAATGAATTTATGGATATAAATTCAAAATTGACTGGTTTCATTGGTTATGTATTTATAATTGGTAATTAGAGCTTGTCTGTTACATGTACAGTCAGAAATACTTGGGCAACGAAGTCCAAATTAATATTCCTTACATTTAAACACTGGAATTAAAGTTTTTATTAAAATGTTTATTACCTAAATTAAAATGTTTATTACCTAAAGAAGATGTAAAAATACAATACTTTCTAATAGCTATTTTGTTTGAAATGACTTCTATGACATCTTTTGTAGCCGCCCCTCAAGAAAATCTGCTCCACTCAAAGTCAAACATCTGGTTGAGATGTCTTGTGGCATCTTACACTCTGCTTTCAGAGTAGCTATTGTTTGGATAGCCAGACCTGGGCATGATCACATTTGGTTTGAATATTCTCCACTTGTAGACAATTCTTAATACATAGGAATGATAGTTTTGTATCAGTGATTTTCTCCAAATCGATATAAATTGT